CCTTCCCAACCAGGGGAGGATGATGGAGACGAGATCGCGATGGCATTCATGGACAATTATGATCGTTAACCATCCTTAGTTTGATTATTATTTTCCTATCTACTTTATTATGGTGATTTATTTCCTTTTCCTATTTGGTAGATGAATAATTTATTTCCTTTGGTATTTTAATTTATTTTGGAAATTAAGGATTTAGATTTGATAGGCCTCTATATATTGTCTTTTCCTCTTGAAAGAGAGCAGACTTTTATGAATAAAATTTATCGATTGAGTTTTCTCATCTTCTTCCCTTTCGTTTAATTGCTGCGCTACATCAGCTGCCCGAGATCGCTCATGCGGAAACGAGCTGCCATCTCGCGCTTGAAGCCGTTGATGTCCCCTTCTCGTGCCCCAGTGATGATCAAGTCATCCACATACACGCCGACGACGAGCTCCTCCTTCCCCCGTCGTCGCGTGTAAAGCGCATGTTCTGTCGCGCAGCGCGTGAACCCAAGCGTACCCAGGGTGGCATCGAGTTTGGCGTTCCACGCTCGTGGGGCTTGACGCAGCTCATATAGTGCCTTCCGCAGCCGCAACACCTTGTGCTCCTCTCCCTTAACGGCGAAGCCCGACGCTTGCTTGACGAAGACAGTCTCGTTGAGGAAGGCCGATTTCACGTCCAGGTGATGAATGCGCCAGTCCTTCGCTGCTGCCATGGCCAGCAGTAGGCGAACTGACTCCATGCGTGCCACTGGTGCAAAAACTTCCTCAAAGTCGATGCCCTCACGCTGGACGAAACCGCGAGCAACGAGGCGCGCCTTATGCTTGACAATGGCGCCACTCTCGTCCCGCTTGACCTTGTAGACCCATTTGAGCCCGATTGGATGACAGCCTGGAGGTGGATCGACGAGCTCCCACGTCTCATTTTCCTCGATCGCCTTCATCTCCTCTAGCATAGCTCGTCTCCAACTGACATCGCGCTCGGCCTGCGCGAAAGTCGATGGCTCCTCTGCGCTGACGAGGAGTAGCTCCTGATCGTCGAGTAATCGGCTTGCCAAGCCTGGTACAACCGAGTTGCCAACGAGGTTGTCCATCCTGCGAAACCTCACCTCCTCACCGTCGTGGAAAGCATCCACATACTCGTCGATGTTGCTTGGAGGAGAGGTGAACTCAACTGTCGTCGCTGGAGGTGTCCCCTGTCCTGCCGCAGCAGGGGACTGTGGTGGGGCCGTGTGTGCAGCTGCTGGTGGAGACTCTTCGCCCGTGCCCATGGCCGGACTTTGCGGCTCAACTGACGTAACCACAGTTGCTGGACTTGGTGCGTCCGCAGCTGGCTCCTCTGATCCCGCATCTCCTCCTCCGTGGATCACCAAATGCTCGATGACAAACGTACCGCCGACACCACGGGCTTCCCCCGTGCCTGGATTCTCCCAATCCCAGGCCGCCATTTCGTCGAACACCACATCCCGCGAGACCACCACCTTGCCTCCACGTGGATCGTAGAGCCGATAGGCCTTGCTCCCCTCTTCGTAGCCTAGGAACACCATCGGTGTGCTCCTATCCTCAAGCTTGGACATGAAGGGCTTCGTTTTCTTCACATGGCCAATGCACCCGAACGTCCTCAGAAACGAGACGTCGGGCTGCCTGCCATGCCAAGCTTCGAATGGTGTCATGCCCTTCAGGGCCTTCGTGGGCGCACGGTTGAGGATGAACACCGCCGTACTCACGGCCTCTCCCCAGAACTCCACTGGTATGCCCTTTGCCTTCATCATACTTCGGGCCATGCCCACGACGGTCTGATTCCGCCTCTCCACGACGCCGTTTTGTTGTGGTGAGTACGGCGCAGTATGATGGCGAACCACCCCCTGGTT